GTTAAATTATAATAAATAACATGATTAATTTAAAGGATTTGCAATGTTTCCTCTAGGACTTTTTCTAGCTTTGGCGGCAGGTCTTTTACACAGATCGACAAACTATTTAAGGCGTTACTTCAATGATAAAAGGCATGAGCGCAGTATTACAAGTCAAGATTGCATTTATGTAATAAGAGTATGCAAATCTCTTTGCTTGCACAACAATTTCCTCTGTTCGTGCACAAAACTTCTTGCACTCCTTCAAATAAACGCTGCTCAAGTGCAGATTTTCTTGTGCGCTCTCAAATAAACACTGCTGAAGTGCGATTTAGTGCGTTTATATAACAAGTACAGTATATCTCTAACATTTAATAGAAATATTAATAGGAATATTGATGAATGTCTCCAATAGACCAACAGAGCAGCATTAATGTGTCCTGAAGTAAATTAAATCTTGCTAAACTCCAGCACGATAAAGTCATTGTATGCAGAGCCATAGACCTTTATCTATAAAGTATAATTTTGGAAACTGTGTTCATCATAACTGAAAGCTACATCGTGTTTGCTAGCCTCACGCACCTGTCAGTCAGTCAGAATGTCTTCTTAAAGGGTTACAGAAAAGTTGCACTATATATTATAATTCACTTACTTTTTAATACATTTTGATGTGATTATAACCCGCTATAAAAAAAACAAAACAAATGAATGTTTTGAATGAGAAGCTGTAACGTAGCCGTGGCGGTATGAATTTTGTTGTAGCGCCCCGCCATTGAAGAATGAATGTAGCGTAAACCATGTCTTTGGATAATTTAATACAAGATCAGAATGGTTGTTCTGAGTACTGTAGTTCTTGAGTTTGTGAGTACCTTAATGATTTACCTGCCAAACAGCTTGATAATGTATCGGGGTACTAGTAGTATTTGGGATGATTCATACCTTCTAAGTAGTCTGGTGACTTGACTATTAATTTATTTAGCAAAAAGGTGAATGATCTGTTTGTTGTGTAGTCAGATGATTTACTTGTCAAACAGTGAGATGATGTATTTGTTGAGTACCTGGATGATCTGTCAAGTAGACAAAAAGCATACCATCCAACTGTAATCCACATACTTAAGACTTCAAAAGTCATGCAGCCTAAAAGATCACAGAGAAAACAAGAATTGAAAAAAGGCGTAAAGAAGTGAGGGGATGACGATTTGGAAGAGAAGAAGTGGAGGTGGCAGGGGGGCTTGAAACAGGAGGGCGGCAGTGAAGGTTAGACAGAATTGGGCATTGTTAAAGCGAGAGCACCACGTTCTGTTGATCCAAACTGATCCATCGAAACAAAACCGCATTGTTCCTCGCAGATGGAAGCGAGTGTCGTCAAGGTAACCAGATTAATCTCTCCTTTCTGTGCTTCCTCCAGTGGAGAGTGCTAATCGGCGGGCTTCTTTCACGCTAAAGCTAGCCTCAAAGCCCGGCCTCTAACTAGCCCTCTAATTAGCCGCAATTACAATGAAGACAACATGATGAGATAATACAAATTTGCAAAATAATGACATACCACGACAAAATATTCCTCCTACTAAGCAGCGGGTTTGTTCTCTCTCCCTCTCTTCCATTCTCCTCGGAGCCACAATGAGCCGGGGCCCTCCTAAAGCTGCCCGGCAGGATGGTGCTGCATTATCAGACACAGAGACTCATTGTCAACCTGCTGTTTTCTTCAATCACCAGTCCATTGTCTGGCGTCTTAAATAAAAACGACTCGAATACAAGCACACATAATGATCCCCTTCTCACCAGCATACAGAGTAGCGCGGACAGCACTACACATCAAACGCATGCACACACACACACATACACAGGCCCTGATGGACTCGGGCCCCGAACACACAGCAAAGGTGTTTCACAACACAATTAGTGCGAGAGAAAGCAGGACAGAGCATGTGGGGGAGAAAAAAGGAGGAGGAAATGATTGAGAGAACAAAAGGAAAGGAACAAATGAAGGAGAGGGAGAGTGAAACGAAGGAGCATAACAAGTGTGTACACAAAAGAATGATAGGAGAAGCAGACCGGAAAAAAAGAGGAAGGAAGGAAAGAAGGGAAAAAGTCCACAGGAGAGAGATGAGTGATGGAACAGCCTGTTTGTTTTCATCTAGTCAGAACAAATTAAACAGCCCTCAGTCAGCTAGACAGCACGCACTTACGACATCAAACGAGGCAGATAGAGAGAGAACGACCGCTGATAGGATTAAAAAAAAACACAGAGAAGGTGTAAAAACACTGATATGTGAAGGCAGGTTCAGATATGATGACCCCCATAAATAAAAATCATCTAGCGTGGAACGCCATAAATATAGATGCAACAGCAGCAGCTATTCTTGAACTTCATTTGTGGTAATTAAGTTTTTTTTGCCCCACAAACTGATGTATTATGAAAAATAAACATTTCAATTAAATTAGATACACATTCATTAAATTAGCACATTAGCTGTAAGTGTACTTAAATGCATATTTATTCAATCATATTTATTGAGGCATAGGTACAGATGACCTTGCACTGAGATTCACTTGCACACACCACATGTTCTCTCACATGCACGACTTTAACAGCCCCCCTGATGATAATATGATGCTTTACAGTAAGTTATTTAAAAGTCCAAATCAGCCCACATTGTTAACCTCAGCAGACCTGTTAAATGATTTCAGGGACTGTCACTGGATTTTTCTACAGCCTGTGAAGACAGATGTCTAGGGATTGGATGAGAAAATATTCAGTCTCCAATCACCGAGTGCCGTTTCCCGATTTCTCCAACAGATTGGCTGACCTTAAGTCCTGATCACAGTTCAGCTTTCCGTGATGTGTGCTATAGAAACCAGAGCAGCAAACGTGAAGACTTTACCCTTAGAAACAGTTACTAAAAAGCATCAAAAAGACCCTCATCAGAGACAGACAGCCTCACGGCGCTGTTTGAAGTCTATTCCTCGTCATTAACCCAACCTGCATTCATTAACACAAACACAGTGGCTGCACTCAAAAGACGTCGTTCCCCTGATTCCTTTTTCCCCTGTTGTTTTTCCTGCTACACCTTATTAGGGATCGCAGTCCTCAAACCAAATAATTATTTCAGTCATTAAAAGAAAAAGATGAATAATGACATTGGGAACACTGGAGATTTGCTCTCCTTCTTCTTAAACGCAGATATTTTTCTTTTGCTGTCTTGTAAACACAAGTTGAGCACGTAATGAGCAGAAACAAATAAAAGCAGAGACACCTGAACTGAAGCCCAGAGCTGATGTTTTTAGTTTTGGTCATAAAAAAATATATATTTTTATTCGCTGTTGTAAAACAAAACAAATTTTAACTTAAAAAGACACACATCTGTACTAATATTCATTTTGTCTGGCTGGAATTTGATTTAATTTGCACATTCAGTCCATGCTTGTGGATACTGTGACACACAAGATTATCTTTACATGAGTGAGAAAACGGTTACTGATCTGTAATTTTCAAATGACTAATGCAGTAATATAAAAAATAACTACTTTCAAATATAACAAATAAAAGCATTGTACTGTTAAATAATAATGGTAACAATAATGGGCTATCACCATGCCGGCAGCTAGCTCTCTGCAACTCGCATGGTCGCCCACTGAAGCTATACAGCAGGGCTCAACAATAAGGACTGCCCGTGGCCAGCGTGTGAGATGCTCGAGACAGTAGACAGGATCGTTACTGGCCCGATCGGGCCACTGCTGCCTTGTCACTAAAGTTCTGTGACTATTTGTCAATTGCATCTTAGAATTGAGAAACAGTTTGTGTTTTTAAGCCTTCAAAAGCTACCTTCTCAGTTCCTCTTATCTGATTGGGTGTTGTGAGCACATTATTTTTTTCCGTATCAACCAGTACAGCAAAGAGACAGCTACATGGTGGCAACATTAAATGATGATGCTAAAGGAAAACATTTGTTTCTAACGTCTTGGAAGCAGACGTTTACAAGGATACACCATGACAAAAAAATGAAGTGATGTTTTGTTCAGTTTGCCGTTAGTTCGACAGGACAGCCATCTTTTGTTTCAAAACACTTTGAATTTTGCTCATTATACATTAATTAACATTTTTTAAATATTTAAATTCTAGATTTACAAACATTTTGACACATTTTTTTTATTTGTGGCTAAGAAATAGCCGTTAACGTTTATTTATTTTTTTGGTGGGGCCAGTGAAAATATTGACAGGGCAAGTAAATATCAGAACCACTGGTCCGATTAGGCCAGTCAAAAAAATCCTTAGCGTTGAACCCTGTACAGGGCTGCGCCCTGTCAGTACGTTGATCGGCGACCACATGGGAAAGCTAGGTTGCTGTCGGAAGTGGTGTTAGTGAGACCAGCAGGAGGCGATACACCTGCGGTCTGTGTGGGTCCTAACGCCCCAGCATATTAATGGGGACTCTATACTACTAAGTGAGTGCTGTCTTTCGCATGAGACATTAAACCGAGGTCCTGACTCTACATAGTTGTTAAATATTCCAAAGATTTTTTGTTATTTAGGCAAAATTTGTCCACTGGCCTCTGTCTATCATAGGCTCTTAACCATCCCCACATCATAATTGGCTTCATCACACTGTCGTTATTTAACTGATCATATTTTAATTACATTAATAACATTGATGCTGTAAAAGGAACCATATAAAATGGAAAGAAGTCACATTAACCGTTCACCGGAAGTTTATCAGTATGGGAAGAAACATAGCTCTGCATATACCCTATTATGACAAGATATGTGGGTGGTACGGTGGCTCAGTGGTTAGCACTGTTGCCTCACAGCTAGAAAGTTACTGTTTCAAGTTCCGCATGGATCAGTTGCCATTTCTGTGTGGAGTACCTTAAAGTTCCAAGATATAATCCTTGTGACAACTTCCGCGTATGGCAATGTGCAACTGTTTACTGTAGATTTGTGTCTCTGAGATGTGTCTGATAACTAGGTTCAAGTTTATATAGTAAAAATCCCAGAAGTAATTAAGAGCTGTGGTTCTTACCTGTCTTCAGCTTCACCTGTCTTCATTCCTCCTGCAGAGAGTGTGAATTTGTGGCTGGATCGCTCAGAACAGTCTGCGACACACAAGAAAGACAGAAATCTGGTCAGTGTGCATATGCACAATGCATTTACGTTTTTTCAGCATCTTCATTTTTAGTGCAATCAATTCACTCAAGAACTGTTACAACGAATGCAATGCAATTTGTAAACATTTCAGTGCAACACAAAAGTTAAATGTCACTATTGGTTCATGTCATATTTTACTGAATAAATGTAAAAAAGCAAAAAGGAAAGTGAATTATTTGTCCGTCAGTCTGATAGATTTAGATCACATTTGGCAGCAGTCTAGTGAGGTGTTAATGTCTGAGTCTCTGTCATCATGTATCTTTTTTTTTTTTTTTGTAATTTTCCCCAGATGGATTTCTTGAACAGCAGCATGTAAGTAATTTCACAGGTGCTCAGTTGGTTAGAGATTTGACTGGGCCACTCCAAGACATTAACCTTTCCGGTTTTAAGCCACTGCAGTCTGGCTACCGCAGCACGTTACAGGTCACTGTCCTGTTGGAATCTGAATCATCTTGCAGGTCCCAGCACTCATCTGCATTTCAGCACAGTTTCCTCCAGGGTTTATCTGGACTTAGCTTCATCCACTTCCCCCATTCATCCTTATGAGTTTTCCAGTACTGTCCCAGAGAAAGATCCCCAAAGTATCCACCATGCTTCACTGCGGGGATGCTTCATACTGCCTGAGGCTCCAAAATTTTTTGGTAATATCAGGCCATGGAAAATATCTGCAAAATGAAGCTATTCCATCCCCATGGGCAAACTTCAGCCTAGATGTGATATGAGTTCTTTCAACAAAGGTTTTGTTTTCACCACCCTTCTGTCAGAGAGATTGATGAATTAAACTTGCTATTGTCTAATGCGCTGAACAAAAAAAAGATATATATAGTGTATATAGACCATGAAATACTGGTCTGTTTCAGAGAGCTATATGAAATAATATAAAATAAAATGAATAAAAAATAAATTAAATATGAGCAATAGAAATAAATTATGAGACCCGCTAAATATTTCTTCAGGTATGGGTTTGAATAAAATGTTTATATATGTTTTATTACATTAAGGTAATTTCTTCCAAATATTAAATAAAAGTATTGTTGTTTGTGTGCAAGATTATCTTGACACACTGGGACACATCATCAGTGATGCATTCTGGGGTCACTGGGTGTTTTGGGTCTTTCAACATCAGACACCCTTACCCAGGTAACCCAGCTGAGGTTGATCAGACCCCAGCTTGTGTCCCATTAGCCATCACCCACGGAAAAGCCCTCTTTTTTTTCATCCATAGTCATCTTGTGGTTGAAGACTTTACAGAGTGAACGCTCTGCAAGCCCTCTGCAGCCCACCTCTACTGGCTCACAGTGTGTCTTCCAGCCCCCTTCCCAGCACTTCTCTACTTGCTCCTGGTACTTTTGGTTTCCCTCCATTTAGATTTTTTCCCACTGCAGAAAATGATAACTGGTCATTTTGGTGGTGCAGTGGGTACCACGATCGTCTCAGAGCAAGAAGGTCGCTGGTTCGATCCTTGGCTGGGTCAGTTGGCATATCTGTGTGGAGTTTGCATGCTTTCCCCGTGTTCGTGTGGGTTCGTGTGCGTCCACTGAATAAAACATATGGTGGATAAGTTGGCGGTTTATTCTGCTATTCTGCTTATTCTGATTTCGTTGAAACTTTGGTATTATGTGGTCTTAAAATGAACGTAAACATGATCATTTTATTTTAAATTGAGAGGAAATATTGTCGGCAGTTTACAGAATAAAACAATAATTGTTCTTTACATTACAATGCTTTAATACAGAGAAACTACGAATCTCTTTTTTCCTAAATGAATAGCGGCATAACAATATGTTTACCTTTCCTAGTCCCTATGTGTATGCATGTGCTGTAAGTGTGTAAAAGGCAAGGAGAGAAACAGAAAGAAGAGAAACGGGGGATGTGGGTTAATATGTGTGACTTGGTGACTGAGGATCATTACGAGATGAAAGGAATGATGTGCAGGGCCCATAATGAGACTGCAGTGTGATTAATACTGACACTGTGAGCTGTCTCTAATTACTCTAATTCAATCAGCCCTGTTCTACACACTCTCACACACACAGATAACACACTTACATAAGTGCACATCTACAATATCCTCGCGCTCTCTCAAATACAGATGTACACTACACTCAAAAAAATGAATTATGGCTTTAGTTGGTCCAAAGAATGTAACTATGTTTAAATTAAACAATTTGCTTATGTTTGTGTATTAAAAATAAAAGTGTTGTGTTGGAAAGAATTAGAAAAAGTAAGTTTTCACATTTAAACAGCTTGCTTAATTAACATGAATGAAAGGGAGTTGTGTTGCTTCTGCAGTACTGCATTTTGGTCAATAGGTGGAGTAATATCTGCACATGCGCAGTTTCAAAACAACACAGGAAGTAAGAAGATTTAAACCACAACGATCACTCTCAGCTCGGCGCCATATTATGGGAATCAAAAGATGAAGATTACAGTACAAATTGAGAACGTGCACAAAGCTTTCCCCAATGTGGACACACAGGTGAGATTTTTTTTTTACTTTTTATGTATTTATACTGAGGCTGTGACAACATTTGAATCATAAATGTACTCTCTTGTAATACTCTGTTGTGTTTGTGTATAGTATTGCTATGAAATTGCCATGTTCCCTGTGTCTTTTCCACATTATAAACAGATAAATGTATAGTTTGTTTTGCATTCCTGTGAAATTTTATACTTGGTATATATTAACTCCCCCAAAATAAAGTTACAAACGTTGGTAGTAAGGAATAGTCATGTTAGAATAGTCTAAGCTTTTCACTCATCATAGCACACGTGCTGCTGATAATGTGACAATAAAAGTGATTTGATTTTTTATTTGATTTGATAGTCTTTATTTTAAATGAGTGTCAAGCAGTTTGTCAAGTTTGAATGCCAGTTTTAATAACTTAGATAAAATTTATTAAAATGTGGTGTTGGCACATTGTTATTTATAATCTAATTGTATTATTCAAGCCTGTTAACTTAAAAAAAAAATCAGCAAAAAAGCATATGTGACACTTAAATAGTATGACATCTAGCATGATGACATATTTAATGTAAGCTTATTTGTTTGGTCATCTAACATGTTTAAATTTTTAAGTTTAGTAGTTTGCTATTTATATTATTATATTTTATTATTTTAAATCTTTGCTCACTCGCATCTATTTTCTCCCTCACAGGTTTACAGCTCAACCTCTAAAGTCCCATATCTGGCTGAGGAGACTGTGGATCATCCAGGTACTATGCCTTTAGATGCCTATTCACACATTAAAATGATGTACAGTAAAAATTACTAGTAATTTTAACTACTAATTACTTAGTTAATTACTAATTGTCATTTCATGTCATTTAGAACATCACCAGTGGAAAGAAATGCATCCTCAAAGCCCCTAAGTGAGGGAGTACATGGTAAGCTATTTTATTTTATTTTTTTAAACATTTTGTATTTTCCTCTTAAACCAATTCCTCCTTTCACCTTTGATCTGTTGGTAAATGTTTTATTTTTTACCTGACTTTTTTAGGATGCTGGGCATGATGAAGCGCAAACCTTGATGTGCAACACCACCTTATGAATCTACAGTAGTTACATTGACATTTAGCAAACTCTTTTGTCTAAAGTGACTTACAATTGAGGACACATTCAGCAAATCAACAAGAAGAGGCGATACACCCAAGATGTGCTAATTATACAAAACATTTTAAGAATTAAGAATGCTTCTACATGTGATTTGTCAAGCCCACACACTTGTGTGAAGCAGACTTCATGCACAATTTTGTTTGTGTGTGTGTTTGTTTTTTAGATATAGGGAGTGGTTGTAAGAAAGTGTCTGGTGCAAATGTGCATAAATGATGCAAGTGTCAGAGAGATGAATGTGTGTAGCTATTGCATGTTCTGTGATGGTTGGTCTAATTTATGGTGTAGTGCTGATCATGTTACTTTGCTTTAAAATGTTAATCTTTCTTTGAACAACTGAAGTGTTATCTGCTTTTTCAGTGTAAGGAAGGTACAGTATAGTTTACAAAAGACGACTTACTTTTTCTAAGTATATTTTTGATGAATCATTTGAAGGCAGAATATTGTTTTTGAATGTTTTTTGTAATATATGAAAAGTATCATTTTGAAAAGTGTATTTTATGATGTTTTTGTAAGCATATTTTTTAAATCATTTATTGTTTTCAATTTGCTTCATAGTTGTATTACTATAATTTTAATAGTATTAATATTTTAACTTATTGTAATAAGTGAAGATACAGATAAAGACAGTATTTGGATTTTGATAATCATTTTATTGCTGGAAAATGTGTAAAACTGTAAAAATGCTCTTAAATAAACTCAATGAAACGGAAACTGTTATTTTTTTATTTGGTTAAACATAACAATATCAATTTTAGAATAATTGAACTTAAATAACTACATTGATTAAAGCTAAATTATAAATGTTACGTTGATTGAACTAAACAACATTACATTACCTTTATGTAACTAACTTAAGTTCACTAAAATTAATATTCTTTCTTAAAGGTAACTTAACTCGGTTACGTGGAACCAGTGGACAAAAAAAAGTTAATTAACGCCAACATATCATTTTTTTGAGTGTAGGCTGCTGCGGCTTGTTCTTTTAAATGGGAGCTCAAGCGTCAGGAATGACCTGGACGCGCTGCACAGAAACGCAGTCGAGCGGTTAAAACGGAACAGAACTACAAATATAAACCGACCGTGTTCGCAGTTGAGTCACTTTCGTATACAGGTCCAGATATGCGTGTTTGTGTGTGTGGTAGCATTGGGAAACCCCGGCATGGTGTGTATGTGAGCATCTTTCTTGACTCGCTGGTGAAAAATCACTGCGTTGCTCTGAAGAGAAATCTCCCTCCTGTCGTAATTAGCTGCGCTGCTTGACTGACGACCTCGTTAACGAGTGGCATCATGCGATTCAATTTCTGCGTTTTTTTGTGCAGGAATCTGAAAGGA